GTGCTAAGATGACTTAGCAGTACGGCATTCGGGCAGGCCAGATACTGTGTCCCCTTCAAAACCGTCTTTTCAGCCAACACTACAACGCCAACATTTCGTGCATCTCATCGCATAGCCTCAACGATGCATTCCATCTACGAGACATTCGTCGAGGACGACGGTTCAGATGATGGAAATGTAGTTCGGGCAATTGATCCCGCACTCGGTGAGCTCTTTCGGAAGCTGGATGTTTGTCTATTTTTTGGCTTTTGCTAGTATGGAGTTAGAAGAGGGAAAAGAACATTTCTATGAGAGTGAGAAGGCAGCGGGGGAAGGTTACTGTATTTGTAGAAAATGCTCTGAGTACTTTGTAAATGTTATCTTGTACTGGCAAACGCAATTTCAGGAAAGCTAGACGGCCACGAAGTGTTGATCTTCGATATTACTGGTTTAGGCAAAGAACAGGTAATTTTATACCAATTTTTATATCTTTTTTTGAATCGATTTTTAAATCCTACTCAAAGGAAAAGACCTCAAACGTAGTGCAGCGGATAATTCATCGATACAGTTCGTCAGTTCGTTGACTTATAGCCGGTGCTCCTGCGATGTAACTGTGTGCTGCTGAAAAACCCTGAAAGTCTATCTTGAAAGATTTTTAAAAAGTGGCCTTTCAGTAAGAATAAGGCCTTGACCCGGTTCTCCATGGGACATCTAAGAAATACCATCGAATGAAAAGCATTTCCATCTTGATCAAGCATTCTACCTTCTTCAGATTATGCGAGGCGAACTGCACTTCTACTTGCGACGTCGTGACGCGACGAAATCGGGTCGTGCGCGGCAGCTTCGGGCGAAATCACTGTGTGTCAATGAGTACTGTACTGAAAATCAACAATTAGAAACAATAAAGGTGGGTCCCATATTCTCTAGCTGATTTTTCCGAACGAAAAAATCGATGGTCTTCCGTTTCAGGTGTCCCCCGATAAAGTGATCTGGGATGCAACCAAGCCACTTGCAGAGGCGAACGCATTGGATGTAACCCAACTGGTTGTGAGGGTGAGCCTAAAATATTTATTTGCTGATAAAATTCAATCTTAAGTGCAAACAAATACTGCTCAAAAGTGTAAACAACAATAAGAGATGGTCAAATCGTTACCCACAGTGGTTGGGTAGGGAACGACAGAGGAAGGGTAGGAACAACCACCATGTAGTAATACCGATGAGTATTGAAAATTGAGCAAGTAGAAAATTCAGTCGCCCAAATGCAACTGGAAGAGCAAAGATCTGGGGGAGTTTTATGAATTTTCATGTCATGGTTTTGCAGTGGCACTGCCGAGTCGTTCTGAAGTTCTTTTAGAGCACCATGAATGCCCAGAAGGACCTTTGATCCATTGAGGCTCCTACTGGGAGATGGAAAGGCAGTGAAATTAAAGTGATGGATAGGTTGAAGAAGCGAGAGACAAGCGAGGTCTTCTTTTCCAGATTTCTCGTCGCGACATCAGAATGCGACGTTATGTGGAGCTGGTGAAGAAATGCTCCCCATTCCTGGTAGTTTACTCTAAAGCCGATAACACCATCGACACCAACACAATCAAGAGCCGTGTGGATGGCACGAGACGGAAAAGAAGAGAACTGGGTAAGTTCATGAGACAGGCATGGGTTGAGCGTGACCAGAAACCTTTGATCCTGTAAAACCCATGGCTAGCCCTACGGATTTCGGACTATGAAAGAGAATTAAGCGACCCTCTCTCTAGCATGTCATTCAGAGACAGAGTAAGTAGAAGATCCTCGCTCTCTTCAGAAAAGAGAAAGACGAGGGTAATTCAAGGGCGACCAAAAACTGCCCATGACGAGCATGATGGATGACACTGCGGAACCTAGTTTCTTCAGTATATCTTTACCGAATTCATATTGAAGCACGGCATGATCATTAGGTTCCATTGGTACCAACAAAAGTTACTAACAGCATACTTGCACTGAACACTCTCTCAAAACAGGCTACTTCTCATACAACGCTGTGGAGTCAACTTCCGAAGCTGTACCGACAAGTACGGAACGGCTTACCGATGGTCTACGGACGTTCAGAAGACACTCCAAGGGGAAGGGCCCACCGTCGAGAAGAAAGAAGGTATGTGTCACTCCACTCCAGTAGGTTGAACTGTACAAGCATTGCAGGCTTATATTGTACCGAAGAGGCCGAGGAATGAACACCTTGTACTACTTTGGCCCAGGATTTTTGAAATAATGAAATAATTTGATAACCAATCGATAATAATGACAATCTGACCTAATTGGAAGGGCTCTACCTTACAGGTCCGAGGAAATCGTATAAAATCTCCTGAAGATGACATATGGCATGGATTCGGCGATGATGCACCTGATGAAGAGGAAAAAGAAAAAAGTGTCGAAAAGTCAAATGACGTACGGGTTGTA